AAGGGGTTTTTTTTTTTTTTTTTTTTTTTTTTAATCTCATCAATATTCCCTAACTTCAACATCAGTTCTTAATATTTGGGCTAGAAAGTAATCTCACAAATAGTGAATACAACTGTTCCTCTTTGACAAATTAAAATTGTCAGAAAGTTACTATTATTTATTAGACTACATTATTTACTAGATTGTAAAATTCTGTTTTTAAATGACTTTTAAGCCAGTATCACTTTTTCCATCATTAATAACAAAATACTTCTTTTCCCATGTAGGGTTCACCTGGAGAACGTGGATCAGCAGGTACAGCTGGCCCAATTGGTTTGCCAGGGCGTCCAGGACCCCAGGGTCCTCCTGGCCCAGCTGGAGAGAAAGGTGCTCCTGTAAGTAATGTCAAAGAGAAAATACATTATACTGCTACCCTGCATAAGTTATTACATTTTATTCGAGAATATTAGCTCTTCATACCCCACTGCATTCCCTCTGCTTTATGCAGGACATATACACACACCTCTTTTATATTTATAATAGAGAAAATTTCAAATTCGATTAAGTGAGATGACATTTTCCCATACTCTATGAAACCCTAATACCCGTGAGGGAGTTGGATATTATTAATGTAAAAGGCCTCTCATTTTGCTCCTTTTAAAAAAATAAAATTGGGAGTTTTGATTAAAACTATACCTCGCTGCTTTATATTAGAAAAGTGTGAACTTTTCACACCTCTTGAAATACAACTTTAATTTCAAGAATTTCCATAGTCTGAAATGAGACCCGCAGAAAGCGGCTGCCCTTCTCATGTAATTTGTGCTTTGATCTCCACTGAGTGAGAGGGGAAACATCTAACCAATTATTTCATCTGATATTTATTGGATTTTAAAATTTTATATTTTAATTATTATAGACTCTATTCTGTTTATTAGGTTTATGTTTCTTTGTCAACATTTCTTCTCTACTTTTGTTCCTGCATTTGATTTGAACACATTAATTTAAAAAAATTATTCTCTCATTCTCCAAGATTAAAATACAAACTGATTCAGTAAAATATATAAATAATGCTGGCTAAAATACACAAAAAATATGAGTTTAATACTTTTCTATGCTTGAAGTCTTGACACATACAATTCAGTTTAAACTTATAATTCAAAATGCTTCTTATCACTACGTCTTAAGTTTTAGCAAGTTGATCGTTCTCATTGTCTGTGCATTTTCTCTCCTTTGTCTGTGATATTATTAAAGTGTTCCTGCCTTAGTTCATTTTGTGCTACTATATCAGAATACTACAGACTGGGTAATGCAGAATGGACAGAAATTTACTGGTGAGGGCTTTCTGGTTGTGTCATCTCATGGCAGAAGGGCAAAGAGAAGGAAAGAGAGAGAAAGAGAGAGAGAGTAAAGAGGAGCCAAACTTCCTCTTTTATGAGGGACCCACTCCTGCTACAATGTACCCACTCCCGCAATAATGGCATTAATTCATTCACTCCACCCTCATGGCCTAATTACCTCTGTTTAGGCCCTCTCTTCCAACACTGTTGCATTGGGGATTAAGTTTCCAACACATGCTTTTTTGAAGATCCTTTCAAACCATAGCAGTTTCCAAGTAAAAAAAGATTGTAGTCTGCAATCCATTATCTTTTAGAAACTGTTAGAATGTTAGAATGGGGCCATGCCACCTGTGGATAGAATTTTGGGGTGACAAGAAAAGCACTTTTAATATGCTGAGAACTTTTCTTAAAGCAATATATTTTATAGTGTGCTGTGCACTGGGAAAGGATAAGAAGGAAGCAGATTCAGACCCTTTGATACAAGTTCACTTAAAAATCTACAGCACACATATCTGAACACAATACAATAAAGAATATATACAGGGCAAAGGGATATGCCTTGCTTTTTATACAAATTGATAATATATTGATTAGAGAGGTCAAGAGTTCTGTGAAGATAATATGTTAAATGTTGGGTTTTAAAGTGGATAAAGATTTGGCTTTATGAAGAAGTAAGATATTGAAACAAAGATCAAATATGGAAAAGCACTGAAAGTGATAATATTTGGTGAGACAGATGAGAAATTGACAGAAGCCCTTGAAAGAGCTATGATTTAGGCCTGTAGAGCTATGATATAGGGTTTTGTTGGTAATTTATGATATGACAAGGGAAGGCAAAAGGGAACATCCTGCTCACTCATCCTCCCTCAGTTATCCCACCTCCAACACCAGCTCCAGGATGTTCACTCCAGTGTCTTTTGATTCAACAAATAGCCATTTGGAACAACTGCTAGACACTGTATTAGGTAGGATTTTTTTGAGGGAGGTGTCTGCTTAGGAACAGTAACCTAAAGTGTTTTTTTTTTTTTTTCCTTTTTGTCTGTTTTCGTGACCAGTAATGGGATCACAACCCTCGGTGTCGCGCCCGTACTGCGACCGGCAACGGGATTGCAACCCTCAGTGTTGCGTAATGGGATCGCAACCCTCGGTGTCGCGCCCGTACTGCGACCGGCAACGGGATTGCAACCCTCAGTGTTGCGTCCACACCACGCTCAACCAGTGAGCGGACCGGTCTCTATATGGGATCCGAACCCTCGGCGGGAGCGCCACCACGCTCCCAAGCGCCACACTCTACCGAGTGCGCCACCGGGCCGGCCCCCTAAAGTGGTTTTAAGAGTGTTTGGTGAAAGTACCCATAGATAGTCAAGCAGGGGTCTGGTGAAAACTGATGGAAATGTTGGCCAAAATGTTAAGTTCAGCCTTTCACATCTTCCTCTTCTCAAATATAAATTTTGGATCTTACCTCCTCTGAGTAGCTTGTGTTTTAAAAATGTCGTGCAGTTATTAGTAGATTTAGGCTTGTATGAAGAAAGAGACAAGTGGGGCCTATGGAAGGCAAGTCCTTCGTCCACTTACCCACCCACCTAGCTTGTTGCAATGGAGAAAGCAAAAACTGAATACCCACATGACCTACTTAAGGCAATAACTGTGGCCTAATCAGTGTCTTCGAATTAATCTGATTAGAAACTCTTGGAGATGGAGCTGGAAAGCAGGTAAGGAGAAGGGAGCCAGAACTTCTTCCAACTTACTGCGTTGATAGAAATATTTTGATAGGAAGAATGATTCTTAAAAACAAAACAAAACAAAATAAAACTATCAACTGTGTTAGGGAGATACTGGATGCAATGATTACAAATAGGAAGCCATGTATTTGAGGACAGTTGTAGAAATGGGGGAAGAAAGCTACATCCAAAACACAGTAAAGTCAGTGCCTTAACCGTAAATGGATTGGGAAAAAGGATTAGGGATTTTAGGAAAAATATGCTCCAAATATTTACAGCTTCGAGCGTGTGTAGCTAATTATAGAGAGAATGGTCAGTGCCAGAACTGTAAATCTGGGAGTCACTCAGTGGTGGCAATAAAGTGAAGTGAATATACTCAAAAGATAATCAGGAGATAAAACAAATAAAACAAAGTCATTGTCAAGGGGCAGAAGATGGTGAGGGAAGGCGGGGAAGTGGGGTAATGCAGAAGCAGGACGTAATGACTTGTATGTTCCCACTTTGTGTAACAAGAGGAAAGACAGAACCACCGAGTGCAATCAGGGATACTGTCTCGTGCATGAGTGATGAAATTTTTATGTTTAGAAAATAATTTATTTTAAACTCTGAAGAAAGAAAGTTTTTTGGGAAATATGGGTTGTCTTCATTATCAAGGCACTAGTTTTTTTTCCATTACACAGTGTAGGTAAACTTAGAAACAGGAAAATAATACCATAGTCAAAATAAATAAATAAATAAATGAAAGCAAGAACAGAAAAAGCTAATAGCCTTGTCATTTTGAATCAGTAAAAGAAGCAGAAAATTAAAATACCTAGGAAAATCCATGGCACGTTTGTAAATTTTTGAAATAAAAAGCGTATTGTAAGGTTAGACATTTGTGCAACTGTGTTTTATGATTTTTTAAGCCTAATATCCACTGCACAGCTATTTCATTGGCTCTAATGAAGAGGAATAGACGTTCAGCAAGTTTCGCAAACATCAGGCATCCAATTTGTCAATATATAATACTTGCTTAGACGGTACACATTTGAAAGAAGAATTATGAGTACTAATGATTTTTGTAGACCATAGCCTGAGATTCATAAATGATATAAAAAGGTAGTATTGTTAGTCATGAGAGGATGTATGGATCTTTTGTGTTATCATTTGCTGCCTGACTTTTTTTTTTATCTTAGAAACAGTAAACAGTTTCCTTGGTGAGTATGGAAGCTAGAATGTGACTGTTGCAGCTGCCCTTAATAATTGTAGCAAACACCTAATTGATAGATTTCTTACAGCAAATTAATGGTCTGCTGGATTTTCAATGCAGGGAGAAAAAGGTCCCCAGGGCCCTGCAGGCAGAGATGGTGTACAAGGTCCCGTAGGTCTCCCAGGGCCAGCTGGTCCTGCTGGCTCCCCCGGAGAAGATGGAGACAAGGTTGGTGTTCTGCACTTATGTTAGTATATCCTGTGAGAAAGTTTACTTTATTTTTTAAAGAATTCTAGAATTCATCGTTTTAAGATTAGATGCCAGGTGGAAGGCTACCTTTTTCAAAGTTTCACACACCTTCAATCTGCTCAATGGTTTTATTTTGGAGGTTGAGGATTAGGATCCATTCCATTAAAGAGTTTGTAGAATATAAACAAAAAATAAAATAAGAGAACATGGCAGTGAGAAAAAAATAGTAGATGCCAAAATTTGTTATTTTTAAAAATAGGCTTTTGAAATAAATATAAAATAAATAATAATTCCTTGTATATGTTTAGCCCTCATTTCTTGTACATTGTACAGTAAGACTTAAAAATGAGCTACATACTAGATAATCCTGTTCTTCTATTTACTAACATATAAGTATAGACTCTAACCTCTTGATTCCAAATGTATGGTTGTGTTGTTACATGTTTGAATTTAATATTATTGTAAAATACTATTAAAAAAACTTTGAACCAGCACTCTAAAAATGGATAATGTGAATCATTTTAACATTTGGAATACTGGGAGAAAAGAAATTTTTGATGAATGTGCAATTATATTTCTGTAAATCAGTGTATTTACATTGTGGCGATATTTAAGAAAAAATAGGTTTTAAAAAATTATACATCAAAGGGGGGGGAGGGTGTTAGCAAGAAATTGGTAAAAAGCCACAAAATATGATTACATTATGTAATGATAAATACAGTAATACAAATTATTTTTTTAAATAATTAAAAAATTATAAATCCAGTTGCAATATCCCACAAAGTTAAGTTGACTTTTGTTTGTCTATATTTCTCAATTCTAGAAAACTAAAAAGGAACTCTGCTTTTAAACAGCGATATTAAACATTAGCATGTAATTATATTAAAAGTAAAATAATAATTTGTTGATGACAACAATGCAGTGGCAGGTATGGTATGTTAGAAATAAACTTTAACTCAAATCTTTCAAATACAGGGTGAAATTGGTGAGCCAGGACAAAAAGGCAGCAAGGGTGACAAAGGAGAAAATGTGAGTTTGCAACTTCTTATTTAAGGAGCATTATTCATTCAATACCTTATACTATTTACCATGTATATTTTTCCATAGTACTACTAACTTATCTAGTCAAAGGTAAGTAGTATCAATATTACTATATTACCTCTATAGTTATATGATTTGATAAGTCTGTATAATTATGTGGGGTTTTCTATTTCTATGATTAGGTAAAATATGATATTTTTAGGTCATTACTTATAACTCTGCTATAGAAAATGAATAAACGGAAGAGTCATATAATGAAATGGTTTCCTTTTCCATATGATTATGAAAATTAACATGTATATATACACATATATATGTATCCCCATGTAAAAGCTGTTATTATGTTCTACATGTATACAGTTTAGTAAATCTGTTCCCATATATTATAAATAATTATTTCCGAATTTTTCTCTTAACATATCATAAAACTATCAAAATAACTTACGTTTTTCACTCATATGACATGCTCACTCTCTCCTCTATGACTTTTTTTCACTTTTTTACCAGTTTACATCCTCTTCAAATTATATATTTAAAATTTTTCCTCCTCCTTAAATACATTAGGCAATCATACTTTCATGTACTTCACCTCAGCACTTCCTTACTTTTATACTCTTGAAAAAATATCTACAGACATTAAGTTCTTTATTAACATTTGTTTCCTTTAAGTGTTAATTTATTTGCTCTTTCATAGGAATGTAAATTGGGTGAGTACAGAGATATGTCCTCCACTTGTTTATTTTTTTTTCTCAGCTAGTGTAGAATTTTACACATCATCCCTAACTGTCTGATTCTAATAGACTACTCTAGTTTTTATTCTATAATCCATCTATCATTCTGATGCTTTTAGGATTGGAATTACTGTATACCTTAACACATGACTTTGAAAAGAGATTTTATTAGAATTGGTTGAGTCCGAAACTGAATAGTTACTGAAGTCCATGCTTCTAACTAAAAGGAAAAATCTAGAGTCAAAACAGAAACAGCTTGTAGATAATTGCAGTAGTTAACTCATAATAGGCTCTTGATTCATTTTTCATCCAGTAGCAACTCAAAAACCCTACCAAGTAAGTGACAGCACTGATACTCTGGATTTATGCTGTAAAATTATGACAAGAAATGGTGTACAAAAAATCAATTGTGTAATTTTGATGCAGTTGTTATTGACTGTAAATTTATAAATTTTATTTTAGTAAATTACTTTTCTAAAATTCCAATTAGATTTTTTTAAAGATCAGTAAATACCACTGATCTAATTAGAATATCTTATACACTCAACAGAAGCTATTTTGAAAATAAATGTATTTCCTCCTTAAGAGCTATAATTCAATATGACTGCATGACTATAACTTAAGCCAGAAATTTTCAAACAATTTTGCGTCAGTTTCCTTGAATACTCCTAAAAATTTTTGAGGACCCCAAAAAGCTTTTGTCTACATAGGTTACTATAATATGAATTAAATGGGAGAAATTTTAAATGTGTGTATTGTTTCATTTAAAATTAAGATAATAAGCCTAAAGCACTTTTAAGGGAAAATACTGTATTTTCCCAAACAAAAATATATAATGCAAAGAGTAGCATTGTGTTATATTTGTTGTTTTTAGCTTAATA